ATCCCGCGATCCCGGTATTGCATTCCCTAGCTGCATTCAATTCAAGACACGTTTTAGTGCAGGAGGCGAGTGCGGTCTTGCAGTTTTTACATAGATTTCTGATGGTTTGCCTTAGGGAAAAAGTATGGATCACTTCAACCCTTGACACTTTCGGCAAATCTCTATAATTCGACATGGAATATTCCACAAATTCCCATACTGTGAAAGTAACCTCTGCAATTTTCTAGATAAATTTATATGGGATGTGTTTGGGAAAATTTTTCTCCGAGATGTATTTCTAAGACATGAAATATCGTATACCACGAAGAGGAAGTAGGGAAAACTGTTATCATGAGAGGAACAATGATTTTAGGGAACATTAAGAGGAATTTGATGGCAACCTAGGTAGAACAATTTTAAATGAAACTGAGAGGAACCGAAGCAGAAAGTGGTTGGAACGTATCGGAAGTTACTTGAGAACAATCATTTGAGGACCTAGAGAGCGGATTCCGATTATACGAGGTAAATTAAGAGAAACAAGCGGGAATATGACCGGGAATTTGAGGGGAACTTAACGGAAAATTGTACAATGCATAAGAAGAGCACCAGGGAAATTTATGAGAATCTTAATTGGAATTTAGGAGAAGCACAGTTTAGGAAATGTTAAGGGAAGAACTTGTAAAGGTAATAGCATTGAATATCCAACTCCTTGGATATATTCAATGGTAACAGGAACACTTCCCAAAAGTTTCCAAAAGATTCCACTAAATCAGAAAGGTTTTACGTTTAACAATTGCCATTTACTTAAGTGGTTTATCCGAAGCACATTTGGTCAACTAATACAATGAAAGGTGAGTAATCAGGCCGTCGAATTTATTGAATGTGAGAAACCAGTTCAAATTGATAACGTGTAAATTTTTATTTATTTGTGAATAGTTTGGCCGTGATCGCGTTTCGGAATGGATTGTATCGATACGGTACCGATTAACTTCACTAATTTTCGCGATTTTAATTGAGTATTAGCAGTGAATATGTGCTTGGTGAGTGTGATCTGCCTTTATCAACACCATTGGCACGTTCAACCACCAAATGACCAATGTATGGAAGCGTTGAGGTAAGTCTCGTTTTCACGGCGAAAAAACTTATTTTGAGGATCTATTTGTAATGTATTGTCCCCTATATCATTTGTGCGGAAAATAAGCTGTTATGTATGTACAGCTACAAAAGAAAAGTAGCGTCATAAAGCAACGTCTAGAATACAAGTTTATCAGTTTTGTGACTCACGCCTGTAAATTCTGTCGCCAGATAATTGTGTTGAATTATTTAAAAAAAAGAGAAAGAAATTCAGGATATTTACGCCTTGCCATTATGAATGTTCTGTATTTTTAAAGATATCAGAAAATCAACAGCTGAGGCTGCTTAGATCATGCCGAATCATTGTAATTTTGCAAAACCATAAAATATAATAGTTTTTCAAGATATTGAGGTTTCTTGGATCTAACAGTCGGAATTTTGGAATTCCCAGTTTTACATAATAATCGTCTTGAAAATTTGGAAAATCTTCCAGTTGTCTGACTGCTCCATCTTAGGGTTTTCAATGATCACGTATGTGGGTTTGCAAGGTAAAATTTTTGATGGATGATTTATGATGCGCAGGCGGGAAGGTACCGATTTTATCTTATATACATATTATGCAGTTTGTAACATCCATGGTATTATTTTACAGTTTACAGTACGAGTCGTTACCTCTAACGTTGACCCATGTACTAAACTATTTACAACCCTTCAAATGTATATTAAAATTATAATGCAGGTTGAGTGAAAGTTGTGTATTTTAAAAAATGTCGTCATTTCAATATCCGATGAGGTGATATTTGTATGATCAGTCAGAGGGTTGCTTACAGACCCTACAGACGTAATCAATCAAGGAAACTAAAATATTTCATGCCTTAGAAAAATTACAGCCCGTTATAATTGAAACAGAGTTTTCTCGACAATTTCGTCATTTAAAAATCGAGAGGGGTGATCAGCCAGAGGGTCGCTTGTAGACCCTTTGACGTAATCAATCAAGGAAACTAAAAAAATTGATGGAAAGAATTGACCCCTGGTCCACACGACACAGCAAGTATCCTCTATCTAAGACATACTCGTACATACATCCTTGCAAATTTGATCCTTTTTTTATGCCATAGTCGTCAAAAAGGGGCAAAGGCTAAGGACACAGTTCGTATTTTAAGAACTCTTCATTAGATTGTGTAGCAATTTATTGTGAGCGTCCGAGCGTTTACCAGTATTACCAGAAAATTGCACTTGATTTTTTTGTTCTTTTTTCAAAAATTGCCAATTTCCCCACAATATCTCGACACTATTTTACATAAAAACCATACGACGTACAAAAAATGTATATAATAGGCAAATGAAAAATAATTAATTTAATTTGCTGTCAATTACCGTTGTGACAATCTTGGGGATAGTGAAAATTAATTTATTGATTCAGATTTTACGTCCAAAATGGTTTACACACTAGCCGAAATAGTGGACCTGCAAATTATTCTAATTTTCTCGAAAACGGATCGACCGATTTTTAAAAAATCAAACGTCACAATAAAGCACTTCGAAAGACCGTTCAAACAAGCTATTACTCGATACCACTTGTCATTTAAAATTTGTAAGAGAATGGCCCTGAGGGGCAGAGGGTAAAAGGGGGTGAAGTAGTTTTTGGTTAAAAAGTTGTCCCCCTTGACAAATCTTTTGACGTGTCTGCGCGTTTTTTCCTTTAATCAGTGGTTTTCGATAAATCCGTGGTGGGAAGTTTTCAAATGAACACCCTGTATAAGACGATAAATGGATATTTTAACCACTCTTTGAAAGCCCTTTTAGTAGCGTTTAGCGCCTCTAACGAGCATATAAGGCTTGTGAGAGTGTTAAAAGCTTTTACTCAGTCCTCAGTTTCCGAATGTTTATGAGCTTTTAAGGGACATTTACAGCCCAAATTATATTACACATTGTTATTGTTAAGAACTGGATCTTGAGGAGCTTTTATTTTAAGCTCTTTTGAAGATGTTTAGAAACCTTTAGGAATTAAAAAGCTTCCAAGAACCTCCCAAGGTTTTCTCCTCCCTTTAAGAACAATTATTAAGCACTGAATTCGTTAAGGTATTGAAAGTTTTGAGAATTCCTCAAAAGTTTTTAAAAGTCTCCAAGAGGCTTTTATAGAACCTTTGATAAGTCATGGGGCTTCAGAGACTTTGATTCTCTTAAGGAGCTTTTTTGTGTCTCGAAGAGCCTCCAAGAGCATTTCAAATGCTTTCGACTCTTTACTGGCTTGCAGTGTTTAAGAGGAATTGATACCTCCTCTTTAAGAAGTTGCCTTATAGGGTATAAAGTGTAATCTCAATGAGCTCTTTAAAGGGTTTAAAGAATATTTCGTGGGCATTTTACTGGTATCCCGCTGTCCAGTTTGGCTCGAAACTGAACTTTACTCTTTAAAGGCCTTCCTAAGCACTTTTAAAATTACCAGATTACAAAATAATTATTCGCGTAATTTAGGTAGGCGGGCAAATTTGTGTGACACCGTTCGATAGCGAGCCAACTAAACGCACCCATTTCTTAAATATACAAAATTGGAAATTGGAAGCTAAATGAAACACATAGCTTGATGGGGGTGGCGGTGAATCCAATATGTTTTCAGTGACTTACAAATGTAACCAAAATATCAACATTTTACACCCTTGCCCTCTCTTTTTGTAATACATGCAGCGCATTTTCTGCAGAACTTGCCACGGTTCATAAATGAAGAAGACGAAGAGGGTAACTTAAAGATAACGAAGCCTCTAATAAAAAAAAGTGACATGTTTAACGACTTTTTTGTTACTGCAGGATCGACTGGACAATTACCACTTTATAGGTATCCATATCATCGACATCCGTTAAATTTGCAATAAAAATAATGTTTCAAGGTGTAGAAATTGCACAATCCCTGCTTAATTAAAACTTCACTTCGGAGTAATTTTCATTGACATTTCAAGAATAAATTACGTCGACGATCGCGTTAATCCGAAGATCTTGCGAACGCAAGTTGTCCTAATGTCCAGGTTATAAAAAATAAAGTACTTGAGGCCGAATTCTTGACATCGAAAGAAATGTTTACAAATTAACCTTTATGTAAATGGAAAGTATTAGAAATACAGAAACAGGTAGTTAAATTGGGCGAGTGCCAAACCAATTAGGTAATTTATATTCGTGTGCGAAGAATTTGCGCGATTTGGTCCAGTTTGTATGGGAGAACTGTGACCTTTTCGACGAACCCACCCCTCCGAAATTGACAAACTGTATAGAAATGCGACGTCCGTCCGGCCCGCGCCGGTTTCGTGCCTTGCGATAGAAAACAAAGCACGAGCGCACGACCACATCCTACACGGATCCTAGCAAGCTGTCGGTATTCGTGGGACGTGTAGAGTTGGTCCGTTCCCACGGGGTACTTCGTACAGATGCCTTTACACACGTAGCACCTGGTTCTGGCTATCACCTAATAAGAAACGCAAATATTATGCTTGCGCAACGAGGATGAAATTGATATTTTTTGGTGATGATAATAATAATCTTCTCAATCCTCGAGTGAATAGGGCCGATAATTGGTTCTACTTTACTTTATTAATAATATTATTATTGTTCTACTTTTACTTTAACATCCGTTTGTATAAGAAACATCGCATTATATAACTTTATTAGCTAACCGCTGAAGGTAAATGGCAAGAGGCGACTAAATTATCTTCAACTTCGCTCGAGTAATTTTCCCATAATGTAAAGGCATGTGTCCGCCACCCGTTTTAATAATAAAGGGTGCTTAAAAGTGAAAAAAAGCACCCATTCATAACGACCTTTCCGATAACAATGTGTTAAAGCGAGATGGTCGAACTTATTTCACTTCAATTCCTAGGTGTAAAGCTCGCCCCTCCATAAGTCCCTACCGGTCTTATAAAACCATAACTTGCGGCTTTTTTCCGCTCACATTACGACTAACGTTATTAAGTGAGGTAGTGCGACACATTTAGAGAATAATTACGCGAAATGGCGCCAACGGCCTACATGGTACCAAACGGCGAATTCGGCGAGGAGCCAATTTCGCGCACCTACCAATATCGCAAGGTGATGAAGCCGATGCTGGAGCGCAAACGAAGGGCGCGCATCAATCGCTGCCTCGACGAGCTTAAGGAGCTTATGGTGACCGCCCTTCAGAGCGAGGGCGAGAACGTCTCCAAATTGGAAAAGGCGGACATACTGGAGCTGACAGTGCGACATCTTCACAATCTGAAACGCCAACACCAGCTCGCGCTGCCCGGCGAGCAGAGCTACGCCGAGAAGTTCCGCGCGGGTTTCTCGCAGTGCGCCCAGGAGGTCTCGCAGTTCCTTTCAACCCCCAACGACGTCGCCGATCCCGTCGCCGGACGAAAGCTCCTCCAACACCTCGGCTCGTGCATACGCCAATTGGATTGTGTTTCACAAAGTGTACAAGTGCAGTATTCACCAAATTACACCCCGCCAACCACCCCCGAACTAAATCCCCCCGCGCCCATGTGGAGACCCTGGTAGTTACTTAGATTTTAAGGCAAGTAAGTGCAAGTAAAGTTTTGTTTATAATCTCACAGTATCGATAGGTTTATAGTGTTAATATTAGTTTTTAAGTTACTGTGATAATGAGAATTTTTGTTTATTAAGTACCTGAGAATTAGATTTAAGTTTTATAACATTGTGCATTTTTAGAATTAATTTTTTTTAAAGGAATAAATTTGTTAAATATAAAGGTTTTATTATTCATTTTTGTACTTTCAAGGAAAAGGTTTGTGGCAAATTGAAAAATAATCTCCTAATACCAGAATCTACGTTTAGTCCTCTATTTAGTAACAAAATTTGGCTAAAGGTGTGGAGAAAGTGGTAGTGGACTTGAGACATCAATCGGAGCAAAGTGGGAGCACTTGTTTGAATTGATCTACTTACACAGGTTGACAAAGGCACAAAGCTTATGGTCAACCCCTAAAGATTCGCTGTTGGCATATTACGTACGGTCGCGTCAAATGCAAAAAAGACAACACGCACATTTTAAAATGAGGTTTTTATGCAGTAAGTAACTGGTTCAAAGTCAGGCCCGTAATCAAGATGAAGTAGCAGGGGTGGCAAGTATTTGTCTAGGTGGGGCATGAGAAAAAGCAAAACCACCAGATTATTATCCAAAATACCTAACTGTAAATTTCTCTTTTTGTATTTCTGTACCCAAAAGTCCTAAATACTTTTGAAAATGTTATGGTTTAATAAGATCAGCTCAAGATTTACCCAATTCGTCTGTAATTTTTGTAGTACATCGAATATTTTTGTTCCGTTGTTTGATTTTGTTTACAGGGTCCACTCCACGAGCCAACATTTCAGTTCAACCAAATATATAACTTGGCCGTTTCAAAAATTACAAATTTTACAGAAAGCTACACGAAACGATTTCTCTATTGTCAGGGCTGTCATTTTTGTGGTACCTAATACTTCAAATATTTTTGTTTCCTTGTGTGATTTTGTCAAGACCTATAAGCCCCCTTTAAGTGCACGTAAAAGTAAAGCCCCCTCCGCGTTTCAAAAATTATAAATTTGTTATAAAAACTCACTTTGACATAGCCATTCTACCAGGGGCGGTTTTATACATCTACTCAGGGGGGGGGGGGGCGAAAATAAAAAAGCTACAGAATTGCAGATGCAGAGGTGCGCGGAATTCTTTTTAAGTAGCTTTGATCCAATTTCAGCTGTTTTTTTGTTAAAACTATCTATTGCCGCATTAATTTCCGAATACTGCTCTTTATTAAGTTCCTACATAGAATTATAGCCCTAACCCGTTTAAAAAATTGCAAACAAAACTAAATAATAATTTTTTAAATAAATTTCACTTTTACATATCTTGCAAGGGCTCTCTTTTTTAAATCACTTCAACTGTGTATTTCTGTTTCCTGGTTTGATTGTGCTTACAGGATCCAGTATCCAGACTTTTAGTGCACAAAAAAGATCCCAAAAAATCCCATTGTTTAATTTAGTTTACAGGGTCACCAAGTCACTTTTTTAGCGCACATAATTCAAAAAACGATTTTTTAAAACTCATTTTTACATAACAATCCGTTTATTGCGTGGGTTGTAATTTTTGTGGTAGAAGTATGATTTTATTGCTCGATTTTGTTTACAAGTTTCAAAATTCACAATATTTAAAAGAAACCACTGTTAAATAATCCGTCTATTGTGAGTCCTGTAATTTTTGTGGTGTGTAGGTACAGTGTGTTTTATTTTGGTTGAGACTGCAGTGTATCTCAGCTGTCATCTAGCTACGCTTGCTTTCTAGATACAGGGTGAACACGAAAGTTTGACTGTTGGGGATGTTATCGTATCTGACTATCCATGTATATAAAAAAAAGGTAAAAACTGGCCCATTCTAGATATTTTTACGTAGAATCCAGTGGTGTAGTAAAAAAAATGTTTGGACCACCGTTTCTGAGATTTGACCCAAAGTTGGTATTTTTTAAATGCAACACCCTGTATATCTAAACGTCAATTTTTTGCAATCTTTATCCTGTTTACATTGGTGTACAACCTATGTTTTTTTTAAATTTTAAAATAAAAGCCTTATTTTTTATGATTTTTAAATGGGCTATAGAGATTTTGTTTTGCGTTTTGCTTATTGTATCCATGGCGATACCAATCAATAAAAATGGCTGACGGTAGAAAAATGTCATTTCAAAATTTTGAAAAATATGATACAGGTAATATAATATACAATCAAATAAAAAATATAGGTTGTTATACATCCATGTAATCAGAAAAACATAAATTGACGTGAAGTTATATAGGGTGTTGAATTTAAAAAATACCAACATTTGGTCAAACTTCAGAAACGACAAACCAAAAATTTTTTTGACTACGCCACTCAATTCTAATATCTAAAATAAACAGTTTTTACCTTTTTTTCTATCTTACATGGGCAGTAAGACATGGTAGCACTCCAAAAAGTTATATTTTTAGTTTTCACGTCTTATATCTCAGAAACGATAGCCAGATTGATTCTGTTTGTGATATTAAAAGTTTCACAAAAATTGGCACAGAGTCGCCAAAACCGCAAGTGTCTTATCATTACAGCTAAGATACACTGCGGTCAACAAAATAGGACACACTGTACATCGAATTTGTTTGATCTTGTTTATAGGGCCCACAAGCTTCATTTTAAGTAAGTTCATATAAAAATATATCTCCTTCCGGTTTCAAAAATGTGAACGTTTTTTTAAATAAAAACACTTCTACATAACCATCCGTTTATTGTAAGGGCTGTAATTTTTGTGGTACCTACTTCAAATATTTTTGTTTCCTTGTTGGATTTTGTTTACAGAATCCAAAAGGCATCCTTTTTAGCTTACAAAAGTATATAACCTGTCCCCGTTTTAAAATTTTTTTTGATAACTCGCTTACAAAACAATCTTATGAGGGCTGTAATTTTTTGGTACAGAAAAAATTATTATTCTCCTGTTTGCTCTTGTTTATAGGGCCCCTAAACCTCCTTTTAGGTACAGATAAGAATGGACCCTTCCCTGTTCCAAAAATTACATTTTTTTAAAGAAAACCAATTTACACATTGGTTTTTTGTTTATTGTGATAACCTTTGTCGTACATTAAATATTTTTAATTTGTATACAGGGTGAACATCTTCAAAACAGCAACATTATACAAAAATTGCTATTCACTTTAAATTTGTGATAAGTCATAAGTAGCGTACATCAAGGGTCAAGGTATGGCTAAGGGGGGCACATTTTTTAAGTTGTATTAAAAAAGGTTAATTCTTTAATAGTACACACGAACAATAATTCTTTGCATTAAAAAAGTGGCCCTTTTAGTTCTGTAGACGCACGCTACTGTTAATTTACTTTATAACATAGAATTACTTATAGGCCAGTCGCGCATTTTAAACACTAAATCTTGCAAAAAATACTGCAAACTTACATTTTTAATGTTGTTAAGGAATAGGTACATATACGGTATAAATCTAGATTTGCAACTCTTAAAAACCTGAGTCCGCTAATGTGCAGCGTGAAAATCGAGAAAATTTTCCCCAAATGCCTACTTTTTGGCAATTCTGATTCCTATCTTTACATTGGTAAGATCTTACAGGCCAAAAAATAACATAATTTGGTTAAGTAGTGCAATTTTTTGTACAGACTAGACTATGCCTTCAAATTTTCAAACATAAATTGGCAAGGAAAATTACCTCACGGCAATATTGACTAAATAGATAAACATACTACACCCATGAAATTCTTGTCAATTATAATTATTGCAGTCACTTGAAGAGAGGCAGGACTCGGGTGCTCTAAAATTTAACGTTTGCATTGTCGAATAGTTCTAAATTTGCTCTAAGTAGGTAATTTCTTTTTCTAGTAATGGCCATTCTTCTTTTTTGAAGGGCAGCGTTCTGGAGAAACACGAGTAGTATATTATTATATTAATTATTTAAAAAAGTAGTTTGTTAACAAGTTCCCCATTTGAATAAGGTGTTTGTCCTTTAAGATTGTTCGACCTGTATTATCTCGATTTTCCCACGAGCCACAAATTACACGTAAGCGCATTTTTTATATTCATAGCATTATTCATATTACATCCTGATTTGTTATCGCATTCATAACTGACGATAAGCACGTGCAAAACGGAATTTGCGTTTTGCAGTTAAATGTCATTGGATACCATGAGAACTTCACCTTCTTCATTCCAGGACACGTTAGGATGGACCCCATTGTTTTTTGGTAACTTTATTCGCCCAATTTCAGTTTTCGATGTGTATTGTAATTTCAAACTGTAAACTCTTCTCTACGGTGTTCTTTACTTACAGTTATTTAATATTTTTTCCACTAGAATGCTTTTAAAAACTTCGCTCAAAATTAGGATTGATTTTCCTACCGCGAGCAGAGGTACTCGAGTTTCAATTTAAGCGGCTTTGCTAAACATAGGAAGATAATGTATCGTGTATTGGTTTACACGTACCTACACGAACAATTTTAATCCATTTTTGCTTTTTGTAAAAACGTTGGGAAGGTTTCGTGTCTTTGTTGCTAAATGTAGCTCTTTCAGCATAATTATATACGATTTTTAACTCTTTCCCAAGCTTTGGTTGTTTGTCTTTTTTTCTTTAAACTACCGTAATTACTCGATGTCGTTAAAGACAGGATAGATTTGCATTTACATATTTTTTGCTCAATAGTATACTTAATTTCTACGACTGTCTAGTCCTAAGGCCTGCAAATTTGAAATCGTAACAGTCGAATGCCTGGCCAGGTTTTTTAATACCTGCCTACTGCGTAAAGCACTCATCTATTTTTACAGTTTCTCTAGGACCGTCTTGTAAAATTGGCGATTAGTTTGAAAAAAAATTGAAAAGTTCCAGATACGGCTTGAAAAATCGTGTCAGAAAATTCTTGCTTGAAATGTAAGCGGCTTGTGGCAATTTTGCTGAAAATATTGTCAATATGAAAGTAATAGATTTAGTAAATGTAAACATTTCTAAAGAAAATGTTTGGCAATTACAGTACGATAGATTGCTAAATAAACCACCGTTAGTTTTCATGCGCTTTCCTGTACCAAATTAATTTATTCTCGGTCCTGGAAAAGCTCGGCGCTTTACTAGTACCATGAATACAATTTTAAGTTTGAAAGCTTGACTGTCAACCCCATTCTATAAAATTAATTATACATATTTCTTAAAAGGTATAGATGAATTTCTGAGGGTCAGCTTTTAGT